CGCGGGGCGCGCGACCATCCTCTCCCTCCGGCGACACGACGCCGCCTCCCGGCTCGGGACGCTCGGCGGGCGAGCGCTCGGAAAAGCAGTTAGTTATCCGGAACTAGAGTTTTTGTTTACACTACGCGTTTGTGAACAGCCCCGGGTCAGGTAGCACGTTTGGCCGATGTCGCAGGCACCGCATCGCCCATCAGGGGGCGAGGGACAGTATCCGAACGGCACCCAAACAGAAGGGAAGACACGGGGAGAGCGGGGTGGGAGCGGGGTCGCCGGCCTCCTGGAGAGCCGCGAGGCCCCCAGCGTCGTCAGGCGACTTCGCCTTAGTAGTCAAGTGGTTTTGATCGGGAGACCTGTACCTCCCAGATGCAAAGCTAGATAAAAGGCGGACTGGACGAGAAGGGTGTATCCGACACGCATTCCTTGTCTAGTCCACCGTATGGCGGGACTTCCGCACAGATAATGTCCCTGTCCCGGAGGACAGAGGATTCAGAGGCTGGCAGCTGCGGGGCGGGAAAGCTGGAACCCGGCCGCCGCCCCGCCCCGCCTGGGGCTGCGCGTGGCGCCCGCGCGCGTCAGCGCTGGTCCCGAGCTGGACCCCGAAAGCCTTCGCTCCGCACTGAGGTTACACTCCCGAGTGTACCGCCGATGTGGAATAAAATTACGCAGGAGGCAGCGCAGGGAGGGCGGTGATTGCAGCGGCTGGTCGTTAAAACTCGAAGTCCGATCTGGAGCGAACCTATCCCCAGCCTCTCGGGCAACTTTTTACTTCCGAGGTGACGGGAGGAACAGTTGAGGAAGCTTGCTGGGAAGCTGGGAGCAAGGTTCGCGGCCTGGAGGGGCCGAGCAGGGGTTTTTCTTGAGGGGAGAGGGAAGATTCTAATGTGTGGTCGGGAGGAGTGACACTCAGCTCATCTAGTGTCTCCCCAGCTTGCCTGGTCTCCAAACTCACCAGGGGAAATGGTGAAAAATATACACTCTAGACCCCTGGAACGGGGATCCCAGGACCCTAGAAGATCCTAGGCCCGAGCCCTTCCCCAGAGGATGCTTAGGTCAGGGTTTGGGGATCAGCCATGTGCAGCAATTTCTGTTCGGTCAGCGTTTGGGGAAGGTCGGACTATCGTCTTTTGAACCCTCCTCTCATCCCCTTTTCTGTATCATAATCAGGGTTTTAGTGCCATTGTGTAGTTCAGATTGTCGCTGCTCCCCAATCAGAATCTTGTAGGGCGACGACAATGAATTTTGAAAAAAACATCTTAGCTGATTGTTTTGTGTGTTGCCTCCACCCCGCGGGAGCTCAATCTCGTCCACTCCCCTTCTTTTTGATGAAACCGAGCCCAAGAGGTTACATAAATCTGCCCAGTCACAATTTGTCAGGCTCTTTCTTTGCATTGTAGCTCCAATTCATAACGATAATTTTAGGAAAAAAGGTAGTTTGTAAATGGTAATTCCCTGTGGTGAGAGAGAACATAGTATCCCTAAATGATCCATCCCAGAACCTTCACCGATCTGGGTTGAGAGAATGGTCAGACCTTCGGTGCTACGGAGTCCACTGGAAAACTTCCTACTAAGAATTCCATCTTCCTGTGATTTGAGGACTCAATTTTACTTCAAAAGAAAAAAAAATTAAGTAGAATATGTCTTAAAATATGCCCAGCAAAGAACTCCTGAGTAGAGAGTTAGAACTAGAAATTAAATATTTGGAAATGAAATAAAAGTCTAATATATAAACAGCACCATTACAGGACTATTGAACAGTGACACCCCCCCCCGCCCCCTTTTCCTCACCAAGACATTGTTAGACAGGAAAAGGAGGAGGGAGTTCTTTTGTAGATAACACTCTTTGAATGTTGCCTTGGTATTTCTAAAGTCATCTGTGTGGGGTGTTGGCAGCTTTTTCTTGAAACTAAGCATCAGGTTCAATTTCAGTGTCATATTGGAAGGCTTCGGAATTGTGTCCTTTGTGTCTGTGTGTGTGAGTGAGTGATACAGACTCATTGGTTTAAAAAAAAAAAAGTTCAAATAATGCAAAAAAGTACAAAGGTGTCAAAATCCCCTGACTTTCCACTCAGTCTCTCTGTTGTCTTCGACCTTGGCTGCTTGTTCGTTCGAATTACTCGGGGGAGTTTTTGTTGTAGTTTCGGGGAGGACATTTTAAAAATCATGCTGATTGGGCACAGATTCTGATTTAATTGGTCTGGGGTGGGGTCAGGGCTTTAATATTTTTTTGGTTCTGTTTTTTATAGCCCTCAAGCAAGCTTTCATATTATGAAATAAAAGAGGTTAGATTATTACCTTTCTAGTTATGTTATCAAACAATTTCTCTTTTTTCCCTCATTTGCCTAGAAGCTAGAGGGTAAATTAATTTCTTTCATATAATAGATATAAATGGCCCAGTTGGTCTCAATGAAACATTTTGCTTTAACTTTAGCCAATAATAATTCATTTTGTTTTCCTCCAAACTTGGTAAACTTAGAATGTACAGGTCTTCGTGGACTCCTAAAAGCATCTAATAAAGTGGGGAGCTCTAAGCTGCAGGAGTATGGAGCAGTGGGTCTTTCTGCTCTTCCTCTGACTGAGACTCATCCTCTGTCCTTATCTGTCCCAAATCTGCTGTGGAAACTAGAAGGCAATCCGGAACTCCAAACCAAAGTGATATAGAGCAGAGCTTCTCAGACTTTAAAGGGAGTTCAAATCCTCCAGGGACCCAGCTGCCTGTGTCTTAACCCAGTAGTTTTGGGGTTACGTAGGTCTTATACTGCCCATGCTGTGATCAGAGGTGAGTAACACGGTCGAGGAAAATTTGGACTTTGGAATCACACAAATTGAGTTAAAAACAGTAATTTCATGGAAAAAGTGTGCCCATTGACAGTTATCTAATTCTGTAAGCCTTAATTTCTTCATCTGTAAAATGGAGAATATACCTTGCTCATGAGATTGTCATACTGTCAAAGAGAAGGTATGTGGAAACTACTAAATTCAGTGCCAGTCACATCTTTGCACTTGATGAATGTAAGGTCCTTACATGGTTTTTTTTACATACTGGATGTGAATAGTGTCTACTGAGTCCTTGTTTGTAGTAGAGGGACCTGTGCAAAAGGGGATCTGGGTGTGTGTACAAAGTAAGAGGTTAGAGACAAAGTAAGAGGTTAGAGACCCCTGAGTGCAGGCATTTGAGGAGCACTCCATGAAGCCAGCATTCACACAGATGTACTTTGTCTCTAACACATCTTTCAGACATCTTCCTTTCTTAATTTTTTTTTTCCTAATTCTTACCAGATTTAGACAAAAAATGGCATGTAGAGCTGAAGATGGACCAGGCTTTGCTGCTCATCCATAATGAACTACTCGGGACAAACTTGTCTGTCTACTGGAATTCTGAACATTGTTATCATGTAGGTATAGTGTTCGCGCTCATAATTTTGTTTACCTTGGGGCTAGTTTGATCCTTGATGCTCATACCTGAAGCCTTTCACATGTTAACTTCAGTTTTATAGGTAAGGAAACAAACAGGTTATAAAAGCAGAGGAAATATAATCAAGGAGAATGCCTAGCAATGAGCAACATTGGTTTCTTATCTTTTCCACTACCCATCTTTTAAAAAACCCAGTTCTCAGTGATGAGCAAAATTGATAGGCCATGTTTTATTTTACTCCTCCACCTGAAGTGTAACTCTCTTCCTGGACCAGAAGGAAGTGAGACACCTGGGTGTTCTTCAAGGACAACAGTGGTTGACAGTGGGGAAGCACATGTTGAAGCAGTGGCAGTTATTCCAGGGATCGGCCTCTCTGATGATAAAGAATTTGTTTTATCTGAATTTGGTTTATCTATTCTAGGCCTTGTTGCTTTTAAAAGACAAGGCTATTCTTCCATGTAAAATAAAATATTCAGCAAAATGTATTTATTTGGAAACACTGAAGAATTATAATTTGGGACATGCAGTCTTACAGTAAACCATGCATAAGTTCAAACTAAGTAGAGGAATACTCTCTGTTTTAAAATTTTTTTCAATTACAGTTGACGTCTAATATTATTGTATATTAGTTTCAGGGGTATAGCATAGTGGTTAGACATTTATGTAATCTACAAAGTGATCCCCCTAATTAGTCTAATATCCACCTGGCACCATACATAGTTATTACAATGTTATTGACTATATTCCCTAAGCCGTACTTTACATCCCTGTGAGTATTTTGTAACTACTAATTTGTCCTTTTTAATCCTTTTACCTTTTTCACTCAGCTCCCCAGCCCCTCTCCCAGAGAATAAAATTTTCTTTATTTCCAAATAAAATTGAGAGCTTCAGTGTACCACCTTTAGAGGAGGAATTTGACGTATGGAGTACCCCTAGTATGGGTACCAGTTGAAAAGATGATGGAGCAATACATGAGACTTCCTCTATTTGTTTAAACCCATTGAAAGCTTTGTAAAGTAATGTGAAACAAAGAAAATTTGTAATATTAAAAAAAGTAGCTCAAGACAAAAAAAAAAAAAAGATTTAAGCTATAAGAAGGACCTAAAAGAATCCTAATAAAAATCAAGAATAGCTGAATTTAAAAGCCACAAGAATCATAAATAATTTGTGAATAAGCAAAATATTCTCTAAAAAGACTTTATAAAGTTATGAAATCTTTGGAAAACAAGTTGAGGGGAAGAAAGATTGCATCGTCAAAATATTAGCCATAGCAAAATATTAGCCAAGGCAAGTAAGAGCATCTTTAGAATAAAAAAAGTAGGATCATTGGTACAAAACAGTAGTGCTGGTGCCAGATTGAAGAATCAAAAAACAGAATTAACTACATAAGACTAAGTCAAGAAAAAAATTGTTACTTTGTTTAAAAGAGCATAATTTTGTCTAAGAAAAATATAAATATTTCATAGAAAAGTCTTTGATTTGGCCAAAGCAATTCTCATGAAAAATTTTATTTAAGTGTTTCTAATAAGTTGCAGCTGCTGTTTGCTGAGAGCTTGCTCCTTGTCTTGCATATGTTATATCTTATTTTAATCCTCACAACAGTCCAGTAGAGAGGATATATCTGGTTCCTGCAAGTGGTAATACTGAGATTAAGAGAAGTAAAGCGACTTTTTCCTGAGTTACTCAGTTGTTATGTGGCAGTGCTGGGACGCACATCCCTTTATTCTCAGGATCCTGCTTTATGTTAATCAGAAAGAAAAGGGGAAATGTAAAGCTACTGAGTAGGGGTCTCAAGGTTTTGGAAAGCAAACAATATCATCCTCCAAACAAAAAAAAAGAAACAATAAAAATAATAACTATATAATGGAAAATGAGAAAAAAATTTAAATAGGAATGAGTCAAGGGATGATGTTTTAAAATAAGAGTCACACGATTGGTAAATTATTGATGAATTTAAGAGAACAATGGAAATTAATAATATTAGAAATTAGAATATATATAACCCTGTAATTAAAATATTGTCTAATGAACACTTGTAAGCTGATAAATTTGAAATTCAAAAGTTGATCTCCTTCAAAAAATGCAATATAAAGATTAATTCAAGAAATTGAGAACATAAATAGATCAACAACTGGTTAAGAAATCTGGAAAGTTATAACAAATTTCTTTACCTAAAAATAAGTAAAATTGTCTACATTTTCAAATAATAAGTAATTCTCGGTCTATGTAAATTGACCCTAAATATAATGACCACCCCCCACTCCCAAAATGATGACTCGATATCTTATTTATTCTGCAGTATAGATAAAACATTCATCTTAAAATTTGACAAAGATATGAAAAGAAATGCAGGCCAATTTTTCTAGTTAACATGAGTTCAAAAATCTTAAATAAAATCCTGTCAAGTAGAATAAGTTAGCATATTGAAAGATATATTTATGTTGACATATTTTTTTCTTGAGGAATCCTTAGGGCTCATAAGTAAAGAAAATGATGAAATTTTAATGGGAAAAATATAGGTTAAATCAAACGATAGTCGGTGCACTGCACCGTGATACGAAGACCAAACAGGAAAAATGACAGTTCTTCCCAAATTAATTCATACATTTAACACAATTGTTGTTTCTATATCAATAGATACTTTATAGGGCCTGCATAAATAATTCCAAAATTTGTTGATATTTTGGAAAAATTTATGAGCAAGAGAATCAAAAGACAGCACAAAAGGAGAACCAGGCAGTATAGAGACTTATTGTACCAGGTAAAATCTGTTACAAAGCCACAATAGTTTATGTAGCCAAAAAAGAAAAATAAAGACCAGGACTAAACTGAATATAAGAAGGAGAAGCTAATTTACACAAGAATTTAACATATTACAACTAAAACCACGGGGAAAGGTATTTAGAATTATTGTATACCATTTGTCAAATGCTCGAAGTGGATTCAAGTTTTAAAAAACCTCTACAAACTTAAGTACTAAAAAAGGCAGAATACAGTCTTAAACCAATGAAGCAATAGAAATAATAAGCCAGGTTATCATGACTGTATAAAATTTTAAACACTTGTAATTAAAAACAATAGAATATAACAAGATGAAAGCACTAGGATAGGGAAATATTTGATAGATAAAAGTTGAATATTACATTATACGAGGGCGACATAGTTCTACAATTATGTTCAAGGGAATTTGGTTTCTAAATGGTGGATCACACCATAGGAAACAAAATAGCAAAAGAATATTGAATTATTTAATCTGATAATTTTAAAATGTAATCTTAATGCTGTGATATCATAAATATCTAGTATATGAACAGAAAGAAAAATGATTTTTAAATCCTGGGAAGGCTAATGAGAAATAAATATATTGCAGTTTTTCTTATTTGAGTACTATTTGGCATATGTAATAAGAATGGTTAAAATGATTATTTTTTTACCCAGTAATT